AAATGCTAAGATATACAATATTCTGATTTTGTGCCAGAATCTAACTTATTAATTCATTTTTTTGATATATAGCTCTAATAAGCTCAAATGCTGAATGAGAAATAAAAATTTTATTACGATTATGCCCTTTACACTGTGAGAAAAGAGATCTTGAAATGACCATTCCTGAAGATCACAACCACAGTTATTAACTCCATCTCTAAAGTATATTTGTCTTTAACCCATACATTTCTTCCATGTTTTTATTCTGTCTACATATTTTGGAAATAAGTTTGTATGACTGAGATTATAAGTTATGAAAAAGCAGAACCAATTCTATAAAATTCTCATTGTATATCACCTAGCAATCCCAAGTGAATAGGAAAAAACCCCAAAACTACTAAGTTGCAAGTTATTAGATGGGGCTACCTCTTGCCACTCCAGCCCATATGTGTACACATGCCCCTAAACCCTGTTCCATTATCCTAATTCAGGCGTTGGTCATACCTCACTGGACTCTCACAACTTCCTAATCCACTCTCCTTGACACTAAATCCATACTCCATTCCATACTCCAAAATACTCTATTCCATACTCCAAAAACAAACAGATTATATCTTTCTACTCCTTAAAGATTCCCATTAGCTCGTAAACTCAAGTCTAACCTCTTTGACATGATCTAATCCCTTCTAACCAATTTCTACAGTCAGCTCCTGCCTTACCCCAACATTCAGCATTACAGCTACACTGAATTTCTTCTTATTCTCAAAATAAGCTATGCATTTCTATAACCCATACTTTTGTGCACTTTAGTACCTGTAATAGAACAATGACTTTCTTTTCATAGCAAATTCCCCATCATTGTTCAATGCTCATGTCACATCCTTGGTGAAGCCTTTCTGACTCCTTCCTAAAAGCCCCACAACACTGTACTCATTCCCTAATTATAAGAGACTTAGTGTTATAATTATGTGTTTACCCATCTCCTTCTCTAGGATTTCTCAAGGGAAAGGACATTTTATCCATATCAATATTTCTTAGTATCTAGTTGGACACCTAGCAGGAGCCCCTATAAATGTTTGGTAACTGATTAAAATAGCACAGGTTGTGGTCAAAATAGAATAATAAGGATTTGATAGCCACTGATCTTCTGACAGAAGATGAAAGTAAATATAATGTTGACTTCAATACCTTTCACATCTCTTTCTTTAAACTGGGTAATGGGGAACATCATGGCATCAGCAAGTTGAGTTGAAAGTACTGCATGACAAGAGCTAAGCTAGAAAAAGAAAGACCAAAAAGGCCAAATAACTAACTATACAAAGACAGCCAGTGTTAAGTACATTAAACAAAATCTAATTTTAAAGGTTTGATAAATTTTATATAAGAAAATACTAAAAATTGTGATACAGTACAAAATATTATATGATCAAAAATTTCCATTTAAAACTCTTAAAAGAAAACAGAATAACCTTGGATTTAGCAATGATTTCTTGGACATGATATCAAAAGTACAAGAAACAAAAGTAAATATAAATTGGACATCATCAAAATATTGTGCATCAAATGATACTACTAAGAAAATAAAAAAGGCTGGGTGCAGTGGCTCACCCCTGCAATCCTAGCACTCTGGGAGGCTAAGGTGGGAGGACTACTTGAGCTCAGGAATTCAAGACCAGACTGAGCAAGAGCAAGACCCCGTGTCTATTAAAAAAAAAGAAAAATTAGCCAAGCATTATGGCAGGTGCCTATAATCCCAGCTACTTAGGAGGCTGATGTAGGAGGATCACTTAAGACTAAGAGTTTGAGTTTGCTGTGAGCTATGATGATGCCATGGCACTCTATCCAGGGTGAGATACTAAGACTTTGTCCCCCTCCAAAAAAAAAAAAAAAAAAGGAAAAAAGAACAGTTTGGGGGCAGCGCCTGTGGCTCAAAGGAGTAGGGTGCCAACCCTATATACTAGAGGTGGTGGGTTCAAACCCAGCCTCGGCCAAAAACTGCAAAAAAACAAACAAAACAAATCTGGTGGTTCTTCATCAAAAAGTTACCATGCAGTGACCCAGCAATAATCATAAAATTAGGATGCAGTGACCCAGCAATCTCACTCCTGGGTATTTACTCAAAAACACTTAAAACTAGTGTTAAAAAAAAACAAATGCATATGAATGGCCAAAGCATAATTCAAATTAGCCAAAAGTTGGAAACAAACCAAATGTCTACCACAGATGAATAAATGAACAAAATGTGGTATAACCATACAATTAAATTTTATTTAGCAAAAAAAGAACGAAGTACTAATGTATATTACAAAATGAATGATGAATACATTATGCTAGTGAAAGAGAACAGACATAAATGTCCACAAATCTTGAGAATTTATTTATATGAAATATCCAAAATAGGCAAATCCATAGAGACATAAAGCAGATTAGTGGTTTCCAGGAGCCAAGGGGAGCAGGGAGGTGGAAATGACTGTTTAATGGGCACAGGTTTCCTTTGGGATGATAAATATTCTGGAAATAGATAGTAGTGATCGCTATACAACTCTGTGAATGTACCAAGTGTCATGATTGGCAAATTTTATATATATTTTACCACAATTTTTGAAAAAAGTTATATTTCCTACAAGTATTCCACAACTTGATTTTCTGTGATAACATTTTGCTATAATGAATTAAAGTATTTCCAAAAATTACTTTCTCCAGTTAAGAGTACAAAAATAAACAGAACTATGGTTCTAATGGTTCATGTGAAAAGAAGTTTGGCTCAGTGCCCATAGCTCAGCGGTTAGGGTACAGGCCACATACACCCAGGCTGACAGGTTCGAACCCAGCCCAGGCCTGCCAAACAACGAACAACTACAATAAAAAAAAAAAATAGCTGGGCATTGTGGCAGGCACCTGTAGTCCCAGCTACTTGGGAGGCTTAGGCAAGAGAATCATTTAAGCCCAAGAGTTTAAAGTTGCTGTGAGCTGTGACGCCATAGCACTCTACCAAGGGCGACACAGTAAGCCTCTGTCTCAAAAAAAAAAAAAAAGTTTCACTGCAACTATAAAGAACAGTTATGGATTCTCCATACATCTCTTACTACCTTTCTTTTTCCTACACCTTCCAGGTCTTTTTTTTAATGATTTGTTGTGACAAATGGTCTGAGAAATTGAGGGTTGATTTTTTGGCTGTTTCGGACAGCAGGATTAATAAAAATTAAACAGTAAAATATTGGTTGGTGGCAAAAGCAAAACTACAAAGAATCTAGCTATACCCCACAACTTAACTCCTTAACTTCCTACCAACATTAAATAACACAATGTTAAGACTGGGGCAGGTGCAGTGGCATAGGCTTCTAATCCCAGCACTTTGGAAGGCTGAGGCTGCAGGATTGACTGAGGATAAGGAGTTTGAGACCAGCCTGGGCATCATAACAGGACCTCATCTCCATAAAAATAAATAAATAAATAAGTAGCAGGGCATGGTGGTTCACACCTCACACCTATAGTCCTAGCTACTTAAGAGGCTGAGGCAGAAGGTTCGCTTGAGCCCAGAGTTTGAAGTTACAATAAGCCATGATCATGCTACTGCATACCAGCCTGAGCAACAGAGGGAGACCCTGTCTTTAAAAAAATAGAAGATAAATAATAGAAAAGATCGAATGGTATATGGACTAAAAGTAGAGAAACCATGTCTATATATTTATTTCTAGAAAATAATTTGCTTTCACTAGATAAAGAAAGTATTTTTTTATGAGCCAGCCATTAGGATGTAAAAAGGCCCTTCTTTAGGAATCTTTGTAATAGAGCTTTACTCATAAGATAATCAAATTTACCAATAAAACCTACGCAACTTGAGTAATTTATTTAAAAGAATACTTATTTGAGCAAAATAAACACTTACTTCATCTATAACTTTTGAAAACTGCTGTAATGTAGAGCTCATAACTTCATCGTCACCCCCCAGTGGGAAACGCTGAAAAGTAAGAAACAGAGATGAAGTAGAGATTCAGTGCTGTGTGTCTTCCGTGAATAACAAGGTAATCTACACTTTCAAATAACCTCAGAAAACTTCTAAAATTGTGAATAAGCCCAAAAAGGTCACTTTAACAAAACAGCATAATCTGTATAATTAATAAAGATCAATTATAATATCTGCCAAGTAAACAACTAACACGGCATATTGGAATCCATGCTGTATGGGAAGTGCAAAGATTTGGTGTTCAGATCCAATTATTCCAATAACCAACAGTGTAACTTTGAGCCAGCCCCATTTTCTTCATTTGTAAAGAGAAAAGAGGTAAACTAGATAGCATCTCTATCTAATATTAAATCACTAACATTATCTCAACATAAGTGCCATAGTGAAATTTCAATGGCATAACCTGTGAACTCAAAAAAACTTAAGGATTCTTGATGAGAATATATATCACTACATATTTTAGATTATGATTTTAAAGCTTCAATATACCTTACCTGTTTTTCATATTCTTTCAAAAGTTTTGAAGTCAGGTGTGTTGCTGCACTTAATTCATTCTATGGAAAAAGAATAACATTCATATTGGCACAATATTACTGATTAAGAAAAAAGTTTTAGTTGAAAATACCGAGGCCACTTTTATTTAATATCACTTAATGTAAATAATGTATAATGTGTTTTTTAAAACTCTTATTAAATTGCTGGAAAGGGAACTACCATTAAAGACTCTAAAAGGAAATTCAACACATGAAATAGACATTATAAAGGAATTCAGCAGTATTCTAGGTATGTGCCTTTTGGGGGGTTAAAAAAACCTTAAGCACTAAACTAAATATTTTAAACGCCAGAAGTAAACTGTTATAACCTTAGCAAAATCTTTAGAATCTACACTGATGACTGATTATGCCTCTCTATATCCCAATACTAGACTATGATGACCATTTAATATAATATCATAAACCAAAATGTGATTAATCTAGTCATATAGCAACAGAACCATATGAAAGATTATTTTTTTAAATTCTAACTTTTCTTCAGTGTAGAATGACAAAAATAACTTTTTTTTTTTTTTAGAGACAGAGTCTCACTTTGTCACCCTTGGTAGAATGCCATGGCATCACAACTCACAGCAACCTCCAACTCCTGAGCTTAGGCAATTCTCTTGCCTCAGCCTCCCGAGTAGCTGGGACCACAGGCACCTGCCACAACACTCAGCTATTTTTTTGTTGCAGTTTGGCCGGGGCTGGGTTTGAACCCTGCCACCCTTGGTATATGGGGCTGCTGTCCTACTCACTGAGCTATAGGCGCGGCCCCCCCCCCTTTTTTTCTGAGACACAGATTCAAGCTATCACCCTGGGTAGAGTGCCGTGGTGTCACAGCTCACAGCAACCTCACACTCTTGGGCTTAAGTGATTCTCTTGCCTCATCCTCCCAAGTAGCTGGGACTATGGGCACCTGCCACAATGCCTGGCTATTTTTTTGTTGCTGTTGTTGTAGCTGTCATTGTTGTTTTAGCTGGCCCAGGACAGGTTTGAACTGACTAGCCTTGGTGTATGTGGTCCGCATTCTTTTTACATACTAATCAACTATCTCTGGTCAAAAATCAAAGCCTGAAAGACCTATCGCAAGGAAAAAATCAACTATCATTAACAGATTTTCAAGCACATAATTAAAATGTGAATCCAGAAAGGAGAGAAAATGAGAAAGGAAACAAAATCAAACTTGTATAGTTAATTAATCCCAAAGAAAGTATTATCATAGAACCCAGGTTGCTGTTAAAGCTTGTAATTAAGTCACCCAAACATAACCTCAAATTTTGTGCCTGGTCAACAAGAAAAGCTAGTTATACCCTTCTCAAATTCATCACCTTATATTCCAGAGCTACATCTAATTTTTATTACCTTCTTCTAACTAGATAGAGGCAGACTATTTAAATCCTCTACTCAAAAAGGGGAAGTGTTCAAAAATACTAAAAGCATGATTAGGGGAAATACTAAGTGATAACATGGGGTCCTCAGTCAAATCTTAGGCAAAGATTACCGTCAGTGAGTTTCAGTAAGAAAGCCCTTACTGCGTTTGAGTAGAAAGGGCAGAAGCTTCAATCTTCCATCATTTCTGTAATGCTACAAACTATACAGTAATAATTGAAATGTAAACTCTGTTTTGAGTGGAAAGGGCAGAAGCTTCAATCTTCCATCACTTCTGTAATGCTACAAACTGTACAGTAATAATTGAAATGTAAACTCTGTAATACAAAATACTTAACACTCATTCATCTATTCAACAAATATCTACATTACCATGAGCCCTGGTCAGGACTAAGCATCAGTAAACAAGAGAGACACTATCTGTCCTCATGGGAGTTAAAGATTCATTTTTAAATAATAGTACTGAGTTAGCTCGTAGCTTTTTACCTGTGCATCATAAATTCGATGCATAGCGTGATACAATTGGTTCATATAGTTGGAAATAGCTGTTGCATCTTCTTCAAATACACCCAGTAAAGACCTTGTCTGTGTAAAATAAAAGCAATAAGTTTATGTAAATCATTATATAAGATGAAAAACATTTTTTTCTAAAGATAGCACAAATTCTGAGTTTCAATCTATTTTCTCTCTTTTGATAGCAATGCCAAGAAGTCAGGGTATTTTGTTCTGTTTCACTTTAATAAAGCACAGGTATCTTCCAACTATGTCACACAAACTTTAGAAAGAACAGAGGTATATTTTTATGAATTAAAAATCCTATAAGTAAACTAACAGCAATCAACAGAAATGTACAAAGCTAAATTAACAGCATTCCATGCAATATATATTTTAAATGTCTTATTTCAGAATGACTTAGTATAATTATTTTTCTTCTTCCATGGTCTCTTTTAGTAGTGCCAACCCCCTCCTTGTCCTAATCTAAAATAAAATCAAGGTACCATCCCCAACATGACCAACTTTTCAGCCTGTTTTTTCTAAGTCCAGAGTTTTGGGTTTTTTCCTCCTTCCTCTTCTTTACACATGTCTATACTATTTGACTTTTGTTTTGTTTTTACTATGAGCATGTAAAAATTACCTTCATTTTTAGAGGGAAAAATTTGTCAGTAAGTAAATGTTAAGGATACCAATAAAAATTATCAAAGATAAGGAAATTCAGCTTATGAGAAGCAAGGTATACTCACCGTTTTATATTCCCAAGGTAGAAGAAGAATTAATACCAACTACTACTGGAGATAACTGCTGCTTAAATTCCAAAACATGACTTTGTATTTTTTTTTTGCAGTTTTTGGCCGGGCCTGGGTTTGAACCTGCCACCTCCAGCATATGGGGCCGGCACCCTTCTCCTTTGAGCCACAGGCGCTACCCATGACTTTGTATTTTTATTCCAAAAATAATTTATGCCTCTGCCTTGGAGTGGTTTTTTAAAAAATCAACTTATTTCCTAGCTTCCTATTTTCAGAAGAGAATATATTCAGAAGTCAATATAGCATAAAGGAGGAAAAAAGACCCAAGATCATTATGCCCATCAATATATGAACTCCTCATTTTAAGTCCTCCGTTTCACCAGACCTCAGAGACTTGATTTGACAGAAATTTTTTGCTCCACTCCAATTCCCCACAATGTCATTTTTAGAAGTAAAAAAGAAAGCATTAGTAAATCTTATTCAGCTAGTAACATTCTTAAGAAAGATCTGCCCTAGGCCTGGGTGCATGGCTCAAGCCTACAGTCACAGCACTCTGGGAGGCTGAGGTGGGTAGATCACCAGAGGTCAGGAATTCCAGACCAACCTGAGCGAGAACGAGACTCCCATCTCTAAAAATACCCAGGCATTGTGGCAAGCACCTGTAGTCCCACCTACTCAGGAAGCTGAGGCAAGATCAGTTGAGCCCAAAAGACTGAGGTTACTGCGAGCTATGACACCACAGCACTCTATGCAGGGTTACAAAGTGAGACTCTGTCTCCAAAAAAAAAAAAAGCCACTTAATTTTTTCCCGCAAATGGGTAATTCCAATGTAAGGAATTATACAAAACAGTATTGAAACGAGTTCCCTATTTTAAGCTAATGATGTCAAGTTCCACACTGTATAACTACTGTTTGTGTGTGTTAGCAGCTTACAAAAATATAATCAATATGGTACCATTTCATTGAATCTATGATGGTATCCATTGTAAGACACATTTTTTTTTTCTTTTGAGACAGGGTCTCACTTTGTCACCCTGTGTAGAGTGCCACAGTGTCATCATAGCTCATAGCAACCTCAAACTCTTAGGCTCAAGTGATCCTTTTGCCTCAGCCTCCTGAGTGGCTGGGACTATAGCCAAGACACCTGGCTATTTTTTTCTAATTTTAGTATCAGGTACATAGTATAGCTTTCATATAAACACAAAAAAAGGAAAATATAAGTAGCATAAATTTAATGCATTTCGAAATTTCACAAAGTTCAACTCTTTTTTTTTTTTTAATTTGAAAGCTTTATTTATTTATTATTTATGTTTGCAGTTTTTGGCCAGGGCCAGGCTTGAACCTGTCACCCCCAGTATATGGGGCTGGCGCCCTACTCCTTGAACCACAGGTGCCCCTTTTTTTTTTTTTTAGAGACAGAGTCTTTGTCACCTTCAATACAGTGCCGTGGCATCACTGCTCACAGCAACCTCCAGCTCTTGGGCTTAAGCGATTCTCTTGCCTCAGTCTCCTGAGTAGCTGGGACTACAGGTGCCTGCCACAACACCCAGCTATTTTTTGTTGCAATTTGGCCGGAGCTAGGTTCTAACCCATCACCCTCAATATAAAGGGGCCGGTGTCCTACCCACTGACCCACATGGGCCACCCCTCAAAGTTCAACTCTTATGAATCACTTTTCCACTTGAAAGTCATCAATATCCATGTTTTCTGACTGAGCGTGATGGCTTCTGCTTATAATCCTAGCAGTATGGAGGATCCTTTGAGCTCAGGAGGATCTTGAGATCAAGACTGTTCAAAACCAGTCAGAGCAAGAATGACACCCCATCTCTACTAAAAACAGAAAAAAATATTCTGCCAGGCATTGTAGCAGTACCTGTAGTCCCAACTACTCTGGAAGCTAACAGAGGAGGATCACTTGGACCCAGGAGTCTGAGGTTGCTGTGAGCTAGGCTGATGCCATGACACTCTAACCTGGGCAACAGAGTGAGACTCTGTCTCAAAAAAAGAAAACAAAACCCATGTCTTCTCATACATTATTATTCTCTGTGCTATGAAGAGGTAGTAAGTATTTCTTAGAGGTGGTCCACTTTTGTCCCTAATATTTTCTTCTAAGCCACTGACTCATTCAGGAAGTTTTGATGGTCCATCTCACCAGGTGTCAAAGGAAGGTTTTCAGGCAAACCAGGACTGATAATCCTTTCTAAAATGGTTCTTAACTTGATCTGTTGGCTTAACACTTAAAGGGTGTACTTGGCCCTTATGCCAGGAGAAAAAAACAAGTATGTACATTTGCAGGCAATACCAAGTACACTACAACTGCCATCTGGCTGTTAGCAATTGTTAAAATATCAAGTCTAAGAGGAATCCCAATCAGAGATGTTAAGACAAATACTCATACTCTGTATTTATTATGCAAAGAAAGATACCTACATTTGGGGTTGGGGTTTGTCTTCATTGTTCTATCAAAAATAGATAATTGTTGGCCTGGATGGCTCACACCTATAATCCTAGCACTCTTGAGAAGTGGAGGCAGGTGGATTGATTGAGCTCACAGGTTTGAGACCAGCCTGAGCAAAGTGTGAGACCCCATCTCTAAAAATAGCCAGGTGGCAGACACCTATAGTCCCAGCTACTGGGGAGGCTGAAACAAGAGAATGGCTTGAGCCCAAGAGTTTGAGGTTGCTGTGAGCTATAACACCACAGCACTCTACCGAGGGCAATAAAGTGAGACTCTGTCTCTACAAAAAAAAAAAAAAAAGAAAAGGGTAATCATTAAGATATTTATTTATACATAAAATCAATTATTTTTTAAAGATCATACCTGTTCTTAGTAATTAACAAGTTTAATGTTGATTCTGATTTTCAAGGTAATATATAAACATGGACCAAGTATTTAGTGTAGCCTTAAGATTTTCTGCCTCAATAGGTATAATCTTTTGCAAAATTGTGTGGTTTGGGCAAGATAATTCTAAAGATGCTTATGTTTGACTAGCTGGACTTGGACGTGCAAATTTCCCCTATTTTAACTCTACTTACAGTAATATATCAAGCTAAAAATGGACAACTGTAATTAAAGATAGTCTTCCATGACTCTTCCAACATTTTTATATAACTGGCGAGCCGCTTAGGATCAAATAAAAAACTTATCAGGAATTTTAAAAGTTTTCACATTCTTTGTTATTCTACTTCTTGGATTCTATCCCAGATAAAACAGCTAAACTGAGAAAAATTTATACCCAAAAGCAGAACTTTAGGCAAACTCTAGAAGTCCAGCAATGGGGTATTAAGTCAGTTAAAAAAATGTCAAGTCTGGGTGGCACCTGTATTCAGTGGGTAGGACGCCAACCCCATATACCAAGGGTGGCAGGTTCAAACCAGCCCAGGCCAAACTGCAACAAAAAATAGCCGGGCGTTGTGGTGGGCACCTGCAGTCCCAGCTACGTGGGAGGCTGTGGCAAGAAAATTGCCTAACCCCAGGAGTTGGAGTGCCTATAGCTCAGCGGCTAGGGTGCCGGCCACACATACCAAGGCTGGCGGGTTAGAACCCAGCCCAGGCCTGCTAAACAACAATAAGAACTACAACAACAAAAAAATGGCCAGGCATTGAGGCAGGTGCCTGTAGTCCCAGCTACTTGGGAGGCTGAAAAGGAAAGAAAAAGAAAAAGAAATGTGCAGTCTTCAAATTTTTTTATTCAAAATGTAAAAATGTAGCCGGGCATGGTGGCTCATGCTTCTAATCCTAACACTTTGGGAGGCTGAGGTGGATGGATTGCCCAAGCTCACAGGTTCGAGACCAGCCTAAACAAAAGGGAGACTCCTGTCTCTAAAAATAGCAGGGCGTTGGGGTGGACACCTGTAGTCCCAGCTACTTGGGAGGCTTAGACAAGAGAATCACTTGAGCCTAAGAGTTTGAGGTTGCTGTGAGCTATGACACTATGGCATTCTACTGACTGTCTGACAAAAAAAGTAAAAACGTAAAGATATTTAAACTATAATGTTAAGTTAAAGGCAGGCCCAGGTGCCATGGCTCATCCCTATAGTGCCAACTGCTTAGGAGGCTGAGATGGGAGAATGGCTTGAGCTCAGGACTTGGAAGTTGTAGTGAGCTATGATGATACCATTGCAATTCAGCCTAGGTGACAGAGCAAGACCCTGTCTCTTAAATAAAAAGAAGCAGGACTCAGCACCCATAGTTCAGTGGTTAGGGCGCTGGCCACATACACCAGGGCTGGCAGGTTTGAACCCAGCCTGAGCCTGCTAAACTACAAAAAAAAAAAAAAAAAATAGCCGGATGTTGTGGCAGGTGACTATAGTCTCAGCTACTTAGGATGATGATGCAAGAGAATTGCTTAAGCCCAAGAGTCTGAGGTTGTGGTGAGCTATGATGCCATGGCACTCTACCCAGGATGACCTAGTGAGACTGTCTAAAAAAGAAAAAAAAAAAAAACCTAAAAGAAGCAGAATAAAATCATTATGTACAATATAATCTCAATTACATTAAAATATATCTTTAAAAAAGGACTAAAATTAAAAAAGCAAACTGTTATTAGGGTTTGCTGCTGGGTGACCAACAGGTGTGTGTATTTGTATGTCTCTTTTTCTATACCTTACCTTATTCTAACCCAGCAACAGTTATTTTATAAAATCAATATCAAAAATAAAGACATTCACTAGCTATAATTGCTGAGGTTCAGAGAAGTTGAGTAACATGCCCTAAAGCGAAATGCACTAAGTAGCAGTGCAGACTAAAACCCTTGTGTCCTCTATCCCAGATTCAGGCTTTCTATTCTGCCACAGGTTCTGCCTAAGAATCACCTCTAAGTCACTACCCTTCCTAAATCCCAATTGCCCCATGTTCCCCAAATAAATTTTACTACCTCTAGAAATGGGAAGAATATCAATGTAGCCAGCATGATGGTGCACACTTGTAATCCCAGCTACTAGAGAAACTGAGGGGGATAAGATTGCTTGAGTCCAGAAGTTTGAGGCTACAGTGCACTGTCCTAGTGTCTGTGATTAGCTACAGCACTCTAGTTAAGAAACACATCAAGACTTCATCTCAGGCTCGGCGCCTATAGCTCAACCGGCTAAGGCGCCAGCCATGTACACCTAAGGTGGCGGGTTCGAATCCCCAGCCCGGACCCGCCAAAAACAACAATGAGGGCTGCAACCAAACAATAGCCGGGCGTTGTGGCGGGCGCCTGTGGTCCCAGCTACTTGGGAGGCAGAGGCAGGAGACTCGCTTAAACCCAGGAGTTGGAGGTTGCTGTGAGCTGTAATGCCACGGCACTCTACCCAGGGGGACAGCTTGAGGCTCTGTCTCAAAAAAAAAAAAAAAAAAAAAAAAAAAGACTTCATCTCAGAAAACCAAAAAATTATTATAAAACTGACACTAATATGAGGCATGCTTGTCCACAGGTAAAAAAGCAACAAGAAGGGCGACGCCTGTGGCTCAAAAGTGTAGGGTGCTGGCCCCATATGCCGGAGGCGGTGGGTTCAAACCTAGCCCCAGCCAAAAAAATAAAATTTAATTTAATTTTTTAAAAAAAGCAACAAAAAAATCCCACTAATTCTCAAGTTGTAAACTAATTCTGTGGAAAGTTCAATAAATTAATCAGATAAGTCAAGAGATTATCTCTGCCTCACAAGTCATGACTAGGGCACTGTGCAACCCGTTCTGAACTATTTATAGTCTTTATGGGTTATTAAAAAAAAGCAGATAAGAGAAGAAAGGTAAGGCAACCTCTTGAGTCTTATATAATAAAAAAGTAAAATACATAGTGTACCAAACCAATACATCCCACAAAGCTTTTGCAAATCATCTGAAACAAATATAGCTTAAAACTTTATACTTGAATAATCACTAAGAAAAATGTGAACCAGCTATAGCAGCAGTCAAGATAAACCGAAATGTGGGTTTCTCATTTTGTCAGCATATGCTGATAACAGTACATTACCAGTAGGCAAATGGCCTATGAAGATAACTTTCAGAAAGAAAAAGAATAAATCAATTCTACAATCTGATCCCCATTTCATTCTTGATACTTAAAACTGGCACGAAATCCATGAGAAGTTCCATCCAGGAAAGTAGTATCTAGACCTTTCCTTCCTTTCTTCTTTGGGGGCCATATTAAACTGTAAAGACACATAAAATGTGTGCAACTGTATTTTTTTTTTTTTTTTGAGACAGAGTCTCACTTTGTTGCCCTTGGTAGAGTATCTTGGCATCCCAGCTCACAGCAACCTCAAACTCTCGGGCTTAAGCGATTCTCTTGCCTCAGCCTCCAAAGTAGCTGGGACTACAGGCGCCCGCCACAATGCCCAGCTATTTTTTTGTTGCAGTTGTCATTCTTGATTTTAGCTGGCCTGAGCTGGGTTCGAACCCACTAGCCTTGGTGTATGTGGCCGGCACCCTACCCACTGAGCACCGGCGCCGTCCTGCAACTATTTCTAAATGAACAATGCTCCAGAAATTTTTCATTCCAATTGTTATCCAACCAGCAGCATAGCCTTAAATTGTTTACATTATTGCGCAAAAGGTGGGCTTAGAAGTTTCTCTATTGAAGTTAAAGCCACCACCATCTTTTTTAATATAACTGATTTCATTCTTCAGTACTGAAAAAAATATCAAATGGTTACATTTTCCAAAACTGTCTTAGTCTAGAACAACCACACCAGTAAGGCACAAAACACAGAACACAGGGCTTTTATTTTGATGAGTTTATTAAGGCCAAGTCTGCAGCGAGCAGCGACGCAGTCGTGGAGCGGGGAAGGCACGGTCCATCACATGCCGTGTACAGCCCAAGTGACAGCGGCCACAGACACAGCCGCGACACCGGCACACTGGGCAGGGAGTGTGGACGCAGGCTCCAGGACCTGTCACGGGTTTCGTTGACAGCTCTCCACACACATCCTAAGAAAAACTATCCATTTCCTTCACTACCCTGCTGAGCCTCAGAAACCATTAAATAAGACTACCGGGTTTTCTCCCTTTCTGCATTTTCCCCGAAGGGGTTTTCGGGAAGAAAATTCCACGTTCGGGATTTATCACCTCACACCACGGTGATAAAAACAGCGCCTTTCGTGAAATAAAAGAAGACCCGCGCGCGTACGTGACCGCCGGGCCCACGAGTGGCAGCGGCGGCTCGGACTCTGTCCGCGGCCCTCGGCCGCAGCTGCGCGGGCCCAAGCGGGCCTGGAGCCGCAGGCCGCGGCCTCGGCGGCTCTGGGCGCGGCCCGCGGCGGGCGGGGTACCTGGGCGGCGACAGCGCCCACCTGGGTCTGGCACCTGCGGCGACCCAGGCCTGAGGTCGTCCCTCCCGGCTCCCCCTTGTCTCCAGCCACCGCCCGCTCCTCACCTGCGGGCTGTCTTCCAGAGTCTCCTCGATGGGCAGCTTGTCGATCCCCGGCATCGTGGCGGAGCGAGGGCGGCGGCAGGAGACGCAGCAGCCCGCCTGCAGCAGCTGACCCAGGCCAGCCCTCTCTTGCAGGCGCGGCCGCGGTCCCCGCCCGCACGGCCCTTGCCAGGCGCCGAGCAGCCGGGCGGGAAATCCCGCCCCCTCGGTCTCCCTGCCCCTCCTCCCAGAGCGCCCATTGGCTCGTGCCTACGCCCATCAATGCTGCGGAGCTGGCCTGGAGTTTCCTTGGCCTCGAGGGGTCTACAGTGAACGCGTGACACTGAGGGGATAGGGGCAGCGGCCGAGAAGGCGCCGTCTGCGATGGGCGAGCGCTTTAAGAGCGCGCGCTCACCTGGATGTAAGTCGTAGTGGACTGTCTCCTCCATGGCTTGCTAGTGCGGGTAACCAGAGCCTCCAGTGAGGACCACACGGGGGAATTTGGGTCGGTTTTACTTCTCACGTAAAGTATTTCCCTCAGAGACCTTGGGAAAAGCCCTACTTTAGTTTCCTCAAATTACAACCGTCCCGTCCCTACTCAGAGTATCCGGTCTTAGTCCCTTGCAGCAAAATGGTGCTGGCTAACTCAGATGTCTTAAGATCCTGAGTTGTGTCCTTAACGTGGACGGTGGATTGAAGATTCTTTTTCTGGGCACTTAGATATCAGTATATCCGGTTAAAAACATGCGACCTTACCTGGCCTTCAAGGTCAGTCCTTTAGGACTGACGCTGCAAATTCTGACTTCCATATTTCTTTTCAATCACGTAAGAATATATCTTTCAAAATCAGGGTACACTAGTTATTATGTTGATGACTGATTAGCATTTCTACTCTATCAAAAAGTTTTAGGAAGTTTTAAGAAAAGACTATTAATAGCTTCTTTAACTTGTAATTTTACATTAAAGTGAACCTCAAAGAAGTTGGAGGATTGCCTAAATGAGAGTTAGAATCCAGTCTTTCTTCCTGCCTTTTTATTCATCTTTCCCAGTCTCATGCTGCCTGGTTTCTGTCTCTGTAGCTTACAACAAGCTGTCATCAGAATACAAAGAAAGTAGCAAAATAACTAGTGCCTTCTAAAAATCTACCCATTAATCCCACTAGTCCATTCCATTTTTGTTTCAGAAATATGAAAGACGCTAAGTAAAGACTATTAGCTGCCTGGTTCCACAGACACATGGGAACAAATCCAGATACAGTGGAATAAGTCCAAATATAGTAATAGAAATGGAAGTTACATATTTAAAGTTAAAATACTAGATTTTCTCATGATCTCTTGAAAGAAAGGAAAGTATGTTTTATAACTTTGAACAGGGGCGGGTCGCAGTGGCTCATGCCTGTAATCCTAGCACTCTGGGAGGCCCAGGCAGGTGGATTGCTTGAGCTTTGGGGTTCCAGAGCAGCCTGAGCAAGAGTAAGACCCCATCTCTAAAACAAGCTGGGCAGTGTGGAGGGGCCTATAGCCCCAGCTATTTGGGGGGCTGAGGCAAAAGAATCACTTGAGCCCAAGACTTGAAGTTGCTGTGAGCTATGATGGTACAGAGCTCTACTGAGGGTGACAAAGTAAGACTCTTATCTCAAGAAATAAAAAAATAAGGCTCGGTGCCTATAACTCAAGCGGCTAAGGCACCAGCCACATACACCGGAGTTGGCAGGTTCGAATCCACCCCTGGCCCACCCAACAAAAATAACAACTATAACCAAAAAATAGCCAGTCGTTGTGGCAGGCACCTGTAGTCTCAGCTACTTGGGAGGCTGAGGCAAGAGGATCTCTTAAGCACAAGAGTTTGAGGTAGCTGTGAGCAGTGATGGCACAGCACTCTATCCAGGGCAACAGCTTGAAACTCTGTCTCAAAAATAAATAAATAAATAAATAAAACTTTGATCAGGTAGACTTTCATTATAGTTTTATAGAATTATCTTTAGTGTTATAATCTTTAAATAAAAGCTTTCCCCTTAGATTGTTTATCACCTAGTCACTCTGTTGAAGAGTTCTTTAGTTTTTGAGAAAGTTGGTTTGGAGTCAGTTTTTTTTTTTTTTTTTGAGACAGAGTCTCAAGCTGTCATCCTGGGTAGAGTACCGTGGCACCATAGCTCACAGCAACTTCCAACTCTTGGTCTCATGTGATCCTCTTGCCTCTTGCATCAGTTTTCCCTTTTATTAGTAGAGACCAGGTCTCGCTTTTGCTCTGGCTGCTCTCGAACTCATGAACTAAAGCTATCCACCTGCCTCGGCCTTGTAGAGTGCTAGGAGTATAGGCGTGAGCCACAGGCCCAGTTTGGAGTCAGTTCTTGAAACATTAAGGGTTACCAATTGTGTTACAGGTTCCTTATCCTTGAATTCTCTTTTATATTCTGCCAGCACAGGCACAATGCATCTGGACTCTAATGAAGGAATACTTTCAAGGTAAGTTATCTACTTGGTTGAACTGTGATTTAGATTTTAAGAGAAGAAAGGTAGTGACAACTGGTAAGAATCAGGAGTAAGTAACAAATGAAAACATAGTGTAAGAAAGAAGAGTGGGCCGGGCATGGTGGCTCACCCTGTAATCCTAGCACTCTTGGAGGCAGAGGAGGGTGGATTACTTGAGCTCAGGTTCTAGACCAGTCTGAGAAAGAGCAAGACCCTAAAAAATAGCTGAGTGTTGTGGCGGACACCTATAGTCCCAGCTACTGGGGAAGCTGAGGCAAGAGGATCTCTTGAGCCCAAGAGTTTGAGGTTGCTGTGAGCTGTGACACCATGGCAGTCTACTGAGGGCAACAGAGTGAAACTTTGTCTCAAAAACAACAAAGTACATAGCCAAGACATTAGCCAGGAATAAAAACAAAGCAGGAGGAATCACACTACCAGACCTCAGACTATACTACAAATCCATAGTGATCAAAACAGCATGGTACTGGC